GGTTGTATTTCCCGCTTTGTCACTGCACGGGACATGTGAAAGCTGTTTAACCTCTTCACCTACTTTTCTACCTAACAGGAACTATGAGAATTCAAAGATAATGTATATAAAAGTGGTTTTAAAATCAAAGAGCAATGTCTGATGTTATGAAACTAGTTAGTGCATGGTGAAACCACACATATAACTTTGCCTTGGAAATGCACAATTTTTTTTTTTTTTTTTTTTTTTTGAGATGGAGTCTCGCTCTGTCCCCCAGGCTGGAGGGCAGTGGCGCGATCTCAGCTCACTGCAAGCTCTGCCTCCCGGGTTCGTGCCATTCTCCTGCCTCAGCCTCCCGAGTAGCTGGGACTACAGGAGCCCGCCACCTCGCCCGGCTAATTTTTTGTATTTTTAGCAGAGATGGGGTTTCACCGTGTTAGCCAGGATGGTCTCGATCTCCTGACCTTGCGATCCAACCGCTTCGGCCTCCCAAAGTGCCGAGATTACAGGTGTGAGCCACTGCGCCTGGCCGGAAATGCAAATTCTTAGCATCCCCAGTGTATAATAATTTTGTTATTGAATAAATTAATGAATGCTAGTAACTCTTTTCCATCTGTTTCAAAATAGAGAGACAGGGGCAGTTTGAAGCTTTTATCTCTGTCTTCTTTTCCAGGGCTTTCTCTGTGTCTCCCAAGAAAGTGTTTTTTAAAAACGTCCCGGTTATATGAGGTCAGATGTAAATATGTTATTTCTAGCCTCCACTGACTAAAAACTATGGTATGGTATGCTTTTGTTAGAGAATCTTAAGAGTTTATTTGGTCATGGAATTGCAACAACCAATGCGACTTCAAATTTATTTATCAGTCACACAAAATAGTAACACCATGGTGTAAACACATTTCAACAGGTCTGTCTCTGTGGCAGATTACTATCAACAATTGTTTCACTCTGCATTTTCCCAATCTTCTCCTTTGCCTTCTCTATATACAAGATGGAAAGCAAAATTCTCACTTCCCAAAGGCATGCCCAGCTAAGTGTAGTCCTTTCACACAGTTCTGACCAATAACATGTAGATGAAAATCTCTGGAGAGGGTTTCCCAGGACAGAAGTATGATGATTATTTTTGGCTAGGGCACAAAGTCTAAGTCTCTTTTTTCTATTTAGACAACGCACTTTTCACAATACAGTACATGTCTGAAGTTGCTTGGAGAACATACCTATGTGACAATTAAGAACTATCTCTACACTGACACCTAACATACACCACGGAAAGCTATATCCTAACAAGATAGCATTGTCTCCCCTTCAGGTGTATGATAAACATAATCAGATTAGGATGAAGCTGTCCTCTCTTAGAAGTGCAAATTATACACCTATGGGTTTGATGCATCACAGCTGGAAAACCTAGGTCCTAGAACTGACCACCACTAGGGTATGTTATAGCAGTGTCAAAAAGTAGCTGGTAAAAGCAGAGTCTTTTCAACAAATCGTGCTGGGACAACTCGATACCAATATGCAAAAAACTGAAGTTGGACCCAATACCTCATACCATGTACAAAAATTAACTCAAAAAGATCCACAACCTAATTATAAGAGCTAAAACCATAATAGTCTTAGAAGAAAACAAAGGAAATACTCATGGCCTTAGATTTGGCAATGGATTCTTAGACATAACACCAAAAGCAAGAACAATACTAAAAAAAAAGAAAAAAAAAAAGAGCAATAAAAGAGGAAATAAACTAGACCTAACCAAAATTTCAAGTTTTGGTGTGTCAAAGAACATTATCAAAACAACTCAACAACAGAGACAAAAAACTTGATTACAAAATGAGCAAAGGCAGCTCCAGGGGAGGCTGAGACAGAAGGATCACTTGAGCCCAGGAGATCAGGCCAGGCTGGGCAACACAGCAAGACTCCACTTCAAAACACAACAAAAACAATGGGCAAAGGACTTCTCTAAAGAAGATACCAGACTGGGTGCAGTGGCTCACGCCTGTAATCCCAGCACTTCGGGAGGCCGAGGTGGGCGAATCATGAGGTCAGGCGATCCAGACCATCCTGGCTAACACAGTGAAACCCCGTCTCAAAAAAAAAACTAGCCAGGCGAGGTGGTGGGTGCCTATAGTCCCAGCTACTCAGGAAGCTGAGGCAGGAGAATGCCGTGAACCCAGGAGGCAGAGCTTGCAGTGAGCTGAGATCACACCACTGCACTCCAGCCTGGGCAACAGAGTAAGACACCGGCTCAAAAAAAAAAAAAAAAAAACCGATATCTAAGTGGCTAATAAACATATGAAAAGATGCTGAACATCACTGGTCATTAGGAAAATGCAAATAAAAGCCCCAATGAGGTATCAACTTTATCAACTTCACACCCAGTAGCATAGCTATAATAATTAAAAAAAGGAAATTAGCAAATGTCAGTGAGGATGTGGAGAAATTGGAAGCCTTGTGCACTGCTGGTAGAAATGTAAAATGGTTCCGCTGTGGAAAAGTTTGGTAGTTCCTCAAAAAGTTAAATGTAGAACTACCATATGACCCAGTACTTCTACTCTTATGTATCTAAAAGAATTGGAAACTGGTATTCATACACATGTACACACACATGTTCATAGCACCCTTCACAACAAAAAGTAAAAGTAGGCTGGGCGCGGTGACTCATGGCTGTAATCCCAGCACTTCAGGAGGCTGAGGCAGGCAGATCACCTGAGGTCAGGAGTTCTAGACCAGCCTGGCCAACATGGCAAAACCCCATCTCTACTAAAAATACAAAAATTAGCCGGGCGTGGTGGCACGCATGTGTTAATCCCGGCTATTCGGGAGGCTAATGCAGGGGAATCACTTGAATCCAGGAGGCAGAGTTTGCAGTGAGCTGAGATCATGCCACTGCACCCCAGCCTGGGTGAGAAAGTGAGACTCCTTTTCAAAAAGAAAAAAAAAAAAAAGTAAAAATAGCACAAGTATTCACCAAAAGATGAACAAACAGGCCAGGCGCAGTGGCTCACGCCTGTAATCCCAGCACTTTGGGAGGCCCCGAGGTGGGCAGATCACAAGGTCAGGAGATCGAGACCATCCTGGCTAACACAGTGAAACCCCGACTCTACTAAAAATACAACAACAACAAAAAAAAATTAGCTGGGCGTGATGGCGGGCACCTGTAGTCCCAGCTACTTGGGAGGCTGAGGCAGGAGAATGGCATGAACCCGGGAGGTGGAGCTTGCAGTGAGCTGAGAGCGTGCCACTGCAGTACTGCCTGGGTGAAGGAGTGACACTCCGTCTCAAAAAAAAAAAAAAAAAAAAAAAGAAAAGAAAAAGACGAATAAACAAATTGTGATATATACAATGGAGTATTATTGTCATAAATGAAATGAAGTACATGTTACAATAAAAATGAACTGCAAAAACATTAAATAAGCCAGACACACAAAAGAACTGCAAAAACATCTGAAAAAAGAAGGCAGTTGTGCCTGCCCAACATTGTGAATGTATTATTAGGTTGGCACAAAAGTAACTGCAGTTTTTGCCATGACTTTTAATGGCAAAATGCCACTGATCTGTTCATTTTAAAATGGTTAATTTTATGTGAATTTCACCTCAATTTTTTTAAAGTAGTAGTCAGCTCCTGAGACGAAAATGTAATCAGTATGTCACTGACTTAGTGTAAAGGTACTGGAAAACTTTTTTTTTGTTTGTTTTTTTAAAGAGATGGGGTTGACCAGGCAGACCTCCAACTCCAGGCCTCAAGCAATCCTCCCATCTCGACCTCCCAAAGTGCTGGGATTACAGGGTGAGCCACAACGCCCAGCCAATTGGAAAGCCTTTATTAGGATATAAAATGGTGTAAAGCTAAGAACAAGACCAAACCTCCATTCTTGAGTAGCTTTTGAGGGGGAATATCCATCCAGTTTTTTTGTTTCTTCTTCATCTCTGTTTGGCTTTGAACATTTCTCCTGTCATTCAATAACTACTGCTTAAGATGAGCAGAGGAGCAGATGAAAATGCAAGTCAGTTATAATCTTACTAACTGTAAACACCTCTGGCATAATGAAATCAATTGTTGAAATGTAGATGTGGTATTTAAAAATCAAGAAATAGGACTATGGGATTAACAGAGGTCTTAGTTTCATCTATCCATGCAATATCATTATAGTTTAGCAAAGATAAAAAGACTGCCACCAGACTACAGACATCTTTCTCAGAATTCCTGTGTCAATTCTAAGCAATCTTATCAAAGTCTTGAGTGCTTGGTACTCAGATTTCACTGTACACTTTTACCCATGTCTGAATTCCCCAGGACTGCTGTAACAATTAAACAACCGAAATTTGTTCTCTCACATTTCTGGAGTCTGAAATCAAGGTGTTAGCAAGGCCATGCTCCCTCTGAAGGCTCTATGGAGGGAGGAATCCTTTGCCTCTTCCAACTTCTGGTGATTCCAGGTAGTCCTTGCCCTCCGGCAGCATAACTGTAACTTTCACTGCCACCTTCACATGGCCTCTTTTCATTTGTGTGTGTCTTCTCTTCTTATAAGGACTCTAGGCATTGGATTTAGGGCCCACCCTAAATCCAGGATAAATTTGCCTCAAGATCCTTAACTAATTATATCTGCAAAGACCCTATTTCCAAATACAGTAGTTCACCCTTAACCAGGATTTCACTTTTTTTTTTTTTTTTTTTTTTTGAGATGGAGTTTCATTCTTGTTGTCCAGGCTGGAGAGCAATGGCGTGATCTTGGCTCACTGCAACCTCCACCTACCAGGTTCAAGTGATTCTCCTGCCTCAGCTTCCCAAGTAGCTGTGATCAGTTATGTGCCACCACACACAGCTAATTTTGTATTTTTAGTAAGAGACAGGGTTTCACCATGTTGGCCAGGCTGGTCTCAAATGCGTGACCTCCCAAAGTGCTGGGATTACAGGCGTGAGCCACCACGCCCGGCCCACGATTTCACTTTCTATACTTTCAGTTACCCTAATTAAACCATAGTCCAAAAATACTAAATGCAAAATTATAGAAATAAACACTTCATACATTTTAAATAATTTTTATTAGAGTATATTGTCACAACTCTTTCATCTTATTAGTTCTGCTGTTAATTTAAGTGCCAAATTCATAAACTTTATCATAGGGGTATGTATGCATAAGAAAACAAACAGTATATATAAGGTTCAGTACTATCTGCGGTTTCAGTCATCCACTAGGGATCTTGCAAATGTATCCACCACAGATAAGGGTGGGGGTGGGGGGTGGCTACTGTAAAGTCACATTGTGACAGTCCAGGTGTACATGGAATTTGGAGGGACACTATTCACTGTATCACATAAGCAACATAATGCCTCTTTTGACACAGTAAGATTTTTTAAAAAGACTCAAATTTTAATTCAGCTTGATGAAATTTGAATTATTCTTCTGGGGAAGTTTCTTTTTGAGACAGGATCTCACTCTGTCAGGCTGGAGTGCAGTAGTGTGATCACACCTCACTGCAGCCTCAAGCAATATTCCCACCTCAGCCTACTGACTAGCTGGGACTACAGGTGCACTACCACACCTGGCTAAGTTTTAAAATTTTTGCAGAGATAGGGTCTTGCCATGTTGCCAGGCTGGTCTCAAACTCCTAGCCTCAGGCGATCCTCCCACCTCAGGCTCCCAAAGTGCTGGGATTACAGGCATGAGTCACTGTATCTGGCCTCTGGGGAAAACTTTTAGAAATATACCTTTAATTTTTGAAAGAAAACTAAACCAAATAACAAGAAAAAAATCAAATCTCTACAAGTAAGTATTCCCATTTATTTACTGGCTAAAACTGATGATGAATGAAGAAAAAGTACCTTCTGATAGAAATAAAGCATTATAGATCAGTGCTATTTATAATTTATTACTTGTTAAAGTAACTTCAGCTTTCTCATAATTCAATAAGCCCTCTCCTAGAACTCAGGAGCTTTTAAATTTATGTTTTTCACTAAGAAAGCCTTTTTAAAAAAATCCCTAAGCTATATGTTTTTAAAACATTTAAAATTGATTTTTTATATTTTGAAAGGTGAAATTATAATCATCTTCAAAACATACAGTAAAATGTATTACGTAGTCAAGTATCAATTATTTCAAATAGCATGACAATTTAACTACAAATAATTTCAAATCCTAACAAATATAATTACCTAATGTTTAAGTAATTTTATAAATAAATTACCAAATTAGAAGACAATATTGATTGACTACATTTTACAAACTATAAGAATATATCCCACACTTCATATATTTTAACACCCCAGGGTATTTTTCTACATTAATAAAATTCATTCTATTATAAATTTTCAGGAATTCTTTCTGATGTACCAAGATTTCATATGAAAAAGCAGAAGCTATTTTTTTTATTTCTGATATAAAACAGTAAGTATGAACCCAATGTAGAAATCTGAAGTTAGACAATTCCTTTGGCAGAAAACAATCATAAACAGGTCTTAATATAAATAGAATCCATAAGCTCATAAAAAGGAAAGAAAATAACCCTGTGTTTCTTAACACCGAAAGAATCATCAGTACACAGATTTAAAATCATTTTTATCTTTCGACAGCCTGCAACACAAAATTTATTACATATGGCAAAAAATAATTTTTAATTTAAGAGGAAAAAAAAACTTCTGCATGTATAAACTTTCACTGATAAATGCCAATATATACTATATATATATGTCATGTTTTATTATTCTAAAACTACATTATTTATAATGGCTGATCCCAATTTAGTGGGTGTGCAGTATTTATACTGGCTCAAAAACATGCTGAATTAAGCTTTTATAACTGAGATCACAATTATACATGAAATACACAAACATTAAAATAAGTTTATTAAATACAGTTTGGGAGAAAAATGTAAGAAATTCCATATATATGCAAATGTTGACTATTATCAAGAGCATCTTTGGATTTTTTAAAATGTTTTTTTAAAATTATTATTTTGTAAAGAACAGAAGATTTATTTCCAAAAAGCAAGGTGCCATTCAGAAGTATATAAGTGAATTAACATAAAGGAAAATACTCAAAAACAGAACATGAAATATTAAAGGTTAAAACTTTCTGTTCAGTTATTTGTATCTGAAGTTAATGACATAAACTGAGCTTTCAAATACTGCTAATTTTTCCACTTAAATGTAGATCAAGTACCATATAGACTATTTTGTTCTAGGATAGTTTCTTTGAAAAAGGAACATATTTATAATCAAATTTCTGTAGATAAACGGCAACATTTTCAGAGAATTAGCTTGAAATGGATTTAGTAGAAAGACTAACAGCTTTCTTTAAAAAAACATAGAAATCTTGCTTCCATATAAGTAACTTTTTAAAAACTAATGTCCATTGTTTTTCCCAGTCTGAATATGTTTCCACATGCATATGTATTTGCAATTTCTATTTTCCAATATGTAAAAAGTTGGTAGATAATGAAGTAGTGTGCAAATTTTTAGGAGAGAAAACAATCCCTATTTGTTTACTACCAAACTCCCACAGTTATATAGAATCTATTAGCACTATAAACTAACTCAAAATGCAGGCTGCAGAAAAACTGCTTCAATAGCCTCCCTATGAATCTGTCACCTTCTATGAAGTCACCATCTGCTATTATTGCACAGGCTGAGAATTACTTCTGAAAGAAATGGTCAATTTTTTTCAACAGCTTGGTATGTTGATAGCTTAGCAATGGTGCAAGTGATTTGACTTCTTTAAAAAAACAACACATCACTAAAAACACACTTATCATCCATGCTTGGTATATCTCACAACAAATTATTAGGAATGTCTCATAGCTCAAATTCACACGCAATCCCATAAAAAGCGTATGCAGCATCTCTGCACACCACATTCCAGGAAGGAAAAACAAATGAACCATATCTTCATTAGGAATAGCCAAAGTCACCTGAAAAGGTTATTAGTGACAACTGTAAATACCAGAGATACATATAGGAAAGAAAATGTTTTTCCTCAGGGAATGGAAATGTTCCGTGGGATAATCCTTCACAGTTGGCATGACTGTTTGGGGGACTGACTAAATGCTTTATCACACATCTGCATTTACAAGGTCTTCACTGTTAATCACAGAAAACATTTTTGTTCCTTCCAGATTGCTCTTGCTTCTGTAGACAATTATATGCTAATTATTATTCAACGTAACAGCGAGAGCAAAAGTGACAATACTGCAAACACAACTGCAATTTAAGGAGCCAAAAAGAAATATGCTGGCAAGCTAAATGCTTACACACAAAAAAGTTAGGCTTTTAAAATAACAGTGTGTGAGAAACTCTGAAAAAAAATAGTTCTTCAGTGCTCTTATGACATTTTAGGGGGAAACAGTGGTTTCTTTAAAATAACATTTTAATACTCCTATCTCATACTGTTTAGTGTCATAAGGCTACTTAATGGGTATCTAGATTTATGTAGAGAAAACTGAAAGCAAGACAAAACTAACTGAAAGCATCTTTAAGCTGCCTCTGATCAAAAGATTGACTTCAAACAAACCGGACTGAAAAAAAAAACCTTTATGGCCTTGTAGAGTAAGAGAGGTTTTTGTGCTTTATTTATTCATGGTCCTTTCGAGTTAAGAGGAAAAAAAGTTTTAATATTTTCAGGTTGGTATCACAAGGATTGAATAATACACTTATGAAGCCTTTCAAGAAAATGCTTGCTTTGTTTCTAAAGGAGAGGCTGCTGATGGTAATTTGTGTGCTGCTGTGCAACTGGATGAGCTGGAACTGTCACCGGAAAGCCTGCCAGTTGAGGCAAATTGGAAGTAGTGTTCTGATAAGATGACATATCCACAGACATCCCCATTTGCTGTGTGTAAGCAGTTGTACCAGTAGCTGACTGTAGGTTAGAGTTCTGGTTCATATAAGTAGGATTGGAAACAGTGTCTTGTCCAGTGCTACAAACAAAATTTTAAAAAGAAAACTATATTTACTTTGCAATATCTAGGTTACAGTTAAGAGATCATCATGACAAAAATGCCTTTTCCATCTTCAAGTTTATGTAGCTCTGCTGTTCTGATTACAATTTAATCATTCCAGCCATTGAATACTGTTAATCAAATTTCCTTTTTTTTTTTTTTGAGATGGGATCTTGCTCTGTTGCCCAGGCTGGGGTGCAGATCATAGCTCACTGCATTCTCGAACTCCTGGGCTCAAGCAATCCTCCTGCCTCAGCCTCCTGAGTAGCTGGGGCTATTTGTAAAAAATTTAAATTAGTCCAGACTAATTTAAAAAAATTTCTTTTTGTAGAGACTGGGTTTTGCTATGTTGCCCAGGATGGTCTCAAACTCCTGGGCTCAAGTGATCCTCTGGCCTTGGCCTCTCAAAGTGTTGGGATTACAGGCATAAGCCACCATGCCGAGCTTGTTAATGTAATTTTTATATTGGTAAGAAGAGAGAGGTACTTGAAAACAAACAAAATGTAAGATTCTAAGACCAGTTTAACTTCCCTCCTCCAGAATCTCTAACTAAAAACATTCAGAAACTATCTGAGGAGATGCAAACTGTTCTTGACTGAAGTACCCTTGGCCAGTTGCAATGAGAATGGAGTCCTGGCTCAAGATGCCACTTTTAGCCTATATTCTCCCTCCGCATCTCCCAATCCAGCACAAAGAAGTCCACCTCTTCTCTGTAAACCTCTTTCAAGTTTTCCTTCAGTAAAGACTTTCTACTTTTAAAAGGAAAACAGTGTAGTCTGCATAGGGCCCAAAATCTACCCTCACGATACTCTGAAACTATTTCTTTATTGACATTTCACAAACTAAGCTGAAAAATCACACCAAATTGCAAGACTTGTTTGTTCCTATAACTACTATGGCATACATTTCTCTTAAAAAATATATATAATTTTGGCCGGGTGCGGTGGCTCACACCTGTAATCCCAGCACTTTGGGAGGCCGAGGCAGGCGGATCATGAGGTCAGGAGATCGAGACCATCCTGCCTAACAGTGAAACCTGTCTCTACTAAAAATACAAAAACAAAATTAGCCGGGTGTGGTGGCGGGCGCCTGTAGTCCCAGTTACTCGGGAGGCTGATGTGGGAGAATGGCATGAACCCGGGAGGCGGAGTCTGCAGTGAGCCGAGATCGCACCACTGCACTCCAGCCTGGGTGACAGAACAAGACTCCGTCTCAAAAAAAAAAGGTGTATATATACACACATATATATACATATATACATATATATACGTGTGTGTGTGTATATATAAATAAAACAGGCGTGAGCCACTGCGCCTGGCAGTTTTAGGGCTGTGCTCGGAGGCTCATGCCTCTAATCCCAGCATTTTGGGAGGCCAAGGTGAGAGAATTGCTTGGGCTAGCCTGGTTTGAGACCAGCCTAGGCAACATGACTATACCCATCTCTACAAAAAATTAAAAACATTAGCTGGGTATAGTATGTGCCTGTGGTCTCAGCTACTTAGGAGGCAGAGGTTGGAAGATTCCTTAAGCCCGGGAGTTGGAGGCTGCAGTGCACTATGATCACACCACTGTACTCCAGCCTGGGTGATAAAGCTCCATCTAAAAAAAAGTTTCAATAAAAAAATTACATAATTTTAAATTCCACCAAATATACTGCTTGCAATAAAAGAGAATTAGTTTCAACACTACACCACTTTTTTCTCCATAATTCCTAGTGTTACCAAGGACAGCAAAATTTTATATTTTATTCTAACTGAACACTAATCTGAACAGATTTATTTAATATTCATAAAATATCTAAAATTCATACTCATGGAGTTTGAGGGTGGGAAGGGACCTTACAGATCATCTACATATGATTATATTGAATGAACATTTTGTATGGTTAAGCAAAGTGAATAGAAAGAAAGATTTAAATACAACTCTCAGAGTAGAAGTGTTTTTATTAAAAAACAGAAATACAGGGCTGGGTGCGGTGGTGCATGCCCATAATCCTAGCACTTTGAGAAGCCATAGCAGGCGGATTCCTTGAGCTCAGGAGTTTGAGACCAGCCTGGGCAACATGGCGAAACCCCACTTTGACAAAAAATACAAAAATTAGCAGAGCATGGTGGTGCTCGCCTGTAGTCCCAGCTATTCGAGAGGCTGAGGAGGGTGGATAGCTTGAGACTGGGAGGTCAAGACTGTAGTGAGCTGAGATCATGCCTCTGTACTCTAGCCTGGGTGACTGAGTGAGACCTTGTCTTAAAAAAAAAAACAAAACAAACAAACAAAAAAACCCAAAAAACCCTTGTTGGCCAGGCGCGGTGGCTCACACCTATAATCCCAGCACTTTGGGAGGCCGAGGCGGGTGGATCATCACGAGGTCAGGAGTTTGAGACCAGCCTCACCAACATGCTGAAACCCCGTCTCTACTAAAAATACAAAAAAATCAGATGGGCGTGGTGGCACCTGCCTGTAATCCCAGCTACTCAGGAGGCTGAGGCAGGAGAATTGCTTGAACCTGGGAGGCAGAGGTTGCAGTGAGCAGGGATCTAGCCACTGCACTCCAGCCTGGGTGAAAGAGGGAGACTCTGTCTCAAAAAAACAAAGCAAAACAAAAAAAACCTCAACTACAAATTCCACAGTTCAAACACCCTTCTTTTTAAGGGTCAAAGTAACAACCGTTTTCTAATTTTTAGGAGTATATGCAGACAAATATGTCTGGGGCTACTTCACAGGCTGATTATAGCACAGTGCTAAGCACATAATAGGCTTAGTCTCATAAAGGACAATTAGCTTTATTTTGTCCCAGGGATGCAGACTGTAAACTTAAGTAAGGGCAATAATCTCAGTATGGGTAGCAAAGCTAAGGTAACATCATTCCACTTCACAGGATTATGAATAAACAGTTCTGTAACTTCATCTTAATAAGGGTCTATATATTCCCATTCTGAAAATCTAGGAAAATTAACACATATAATTATAAAATTAACACAGCTCCCAAAACTTACCTTAAATACGAAGTTTGAGCAGGCTGTGTTGTCACTGAGGAATTCACATTTGGAGGCAGAGATCTCAGTGGACCAATCTGATCGGGTCCTAGGCTATAGCTTTGGGCAACAGTTACTTGGTGAATGCTCTGACCCATATAGTTTCCACCATGTGATTGAACTGGATATGTCTATTAATCAGAAAGAAAAAGTTGATTCATGAATCTCCCAAACATGTGCCTAATAATATATTTAAAATGTTAAAAGACTTAAAGGAAAGAAACTACACATCTTTGGGAAGCAATCTGATTCTACCAATCTATCCATCTTAGAACTAAAAGTGGTGAGCTGTCAAATCACAGTGCCATATCTATGGGAATTTGATTTGTTTGGCTGTTCTTTTATTTTTACAGAGAGCTGGGAGAAAGACAGGTGGTATACTTTTAAGTAGTGGATTGCAATCTATCCAGGTTGCCTATTACTCAGTAAACATGTCTTGCTGTAGAGCCACAGAAAACTGTACACTCCCTTGAAGGGAAGCCCACCATCACTTAAAGTCACTATAAGAATGATAACCTTCTTCACCCTCATCCCAGGATGACTCATCCAACCCCTTCCTAAGAATGAAACTTAAAAGAAAAAGCTGAAAAAGAAGCAGTATAAGGATGCCAGGGCTTCCCTGGCAATGTCTACTTTATCTCTTACCTTTAAGACAAACAGGACAAAAGTAAGGAAGAGTTATTGGTAAAAGACATGTATCCTCAGGAAAGAGCAAAAATGGTTTAGGTCTCTTTGGACATTTATATGTGCCCTACTTATTTTCAGGACAACAGCTCCTTAAGGACAGGGTCTACCACCTGTCTACTATATATAGCATCAAAACAATGCACACATTTAATATCATATCATACCATAATGATCAATCCAGTTTTAAATTAAGCTATTTTTAAAGCAAAGACCATTTATCTGAAAATTTAGAACGCTAGAAATCCCAAATAAGGTATATTAAGTACAATCACATTACCTCCTTAGTAGACATGTAACAATCTACTGACAATAGGCTGAGACTGTGAGAATCAGCTTCTTCTGCAGTTTAGGGTTCCTGAGTAGCCTACACAGATACAACTAACTTGTTACCCCAATTGCTTCTAGTAGAGATGTATTTTTGTCAAATTAGAATAGAAACTTTTGAATATTTCAAATGCTCGAGTGAATAGTGTAGATACAGACTATGTGAGGAATCAAAGAGAAAGTTAACTTTTCAGAGAAATGAGTTGTGCTTGGCAAAACGCAGTAAGTAGAATGCAAGTAAACACCAAAACCTGACACAGAATAGCAAATAACCCTTTACAGACACATAAAAAAGCCAACATAGTTTTATCATACAACGATGCACACTGCTTTTTGTCCCACTTTCACAGCAGCAGCAAACAACTCTGAAAACAGAAGCAAACTGAGTAACTCCCAAATGTCTTTTGCAGCCAGAAATCTTTCCTACCCTCCTAATTTTCAAAAAGATCAAGGCATGGCACATTTGATAAATGTATCTTGTCTGACGTGACAGTTACCATAGTGACTATTCTTTTTTTACTTAACAATTATGTTGTGTCAAGTCATCTAAATTATTCACCCACATTCTACCCTTTCTCCTTGGTGTCTCCTTCACATGTACCTTTAGATACCAGTGTTCATAAATTAACATGCATTTTGCTCATCCAAGCTCATCCTGAATTCAATTGGCTAACTGGCTGAAATTTCAAAAATGCTTCTGAATGGGGATACTGACAAATATAAAGTATTCACTTCATATGGCAAGCACACAAAAAAGGTGAAAAGTACTGGAAAAAGATGGCTTACGGATGTTCATAGATGGCTTATGGAGTCTGTACCTCCTAGATGTGTATCATATCTTTGCTATGCACAAATTTTTAACAATTTAAGTCATGCAGCTAAGTAAAGGAAGTATAAAGCATACTCTAGAAGTTCATTGTGCCTGTTAATAATCATGTGAGTCAAATAAATCTTTATGGAAATTTGTAAAGAAATGTTAAATCTTGTTGAGCAGCAGCAAAGTGTTGGTACCTGGGGAACTTCTGATATGCTAGGTACCGTCCGAAATCAAAAGATTCATACTCCACATTTACAAAAAGGATTTATACTTACATAAAAGATTTATGCTTTATACTTACAAAAGCATATGAAGAACCAGAACTACCCTCACATACTTAATGGTCTTTTCATCCATGTTAAAACTGAACTGTAATGTCTTTGTGAAATGTCCGTATCTGTCTAAGTTGTTCTGGTGAATGTTAATTGTTCAGTCAATATTTACTGAAACAATCAAAGATAAATTTTACAATTTTATTTACAGACAAAAGAAATCTTAATACTATGCTGTAAAACACTTTCTTTTACTTTAAAACTTGTTTATAATTTAGAAAATGTTCTCAAAAAACATGCTCACCTGCATTGGAACCCCGGATGATGCAGGTGGGTAATGTGCTGGAGGGTGGAGCTTTGAATAGACTGAGTACACTGGTGCTTCATTCACCAATTTGTTATATAGTTCCAGAGCTTCCAGGACTTTTACATTCAATTCAGACAATTCTGAATGCTTCCTGATGTAGAAGAAAAGTATTATAATACTCTTCTAGTTTTTAGCATCTATTTAGTAATATGAATTATTTTTTAAATTTAGCACAATTTCTATTCATATATCAAAAGGCTATTTTATATTTAATGAAAGAATATTCACAAAGCGAAACTGAGAGGAAGAACTGCTTAATCCTTGTAATAGCTAGTCTAATACTAAGACAGGAAAATAGGGTCTCGAGGCAGGGAATCTAAAGCTGTTTTTCAAGCTGACTTCTTGTAACTACACTGAAAGGAAAACCAACCCTAACTTTCCACACCTAAGTAACAAAAGGACCAGAGGCTGCTCCCTTTGCAAACTCCCCACGTTTTCTGTGCAGCAGATGGGAAATTGGGTGTCCAAAAAAAATCAGACTGATTACAGGTCCAGTCTTCGTTTGCAACTTTGTAACTTCAGCATCTGAATGGTTGCTGTCCACAACCAGCCTCTGAATGGCTGCTCCAGCCTCTGAATGGTTGCTGTCCACAACCAATCAGACTGACTGTGGGCGGAGTCTTCATTTGCATACAAGCATAACTGTAACTTCTCCCTAGCCTCTAATTGGTTGCTTTTTGCAACCAATCAGATGGTTGCACAGCACTGTGACCTTTGTAACTTCATTTCAGCCTCTGGTTGGCTGCTTTCTGCAACCAGACTGACCGTGAGCTTCCACTTCATTTAGATGAGGTGAGCATGAAGCGGCCAATGGGAAACTTCTAGGGGGTACTGTACTTGGACCCAAGAAGGTTCTGTATCCGGGTCCTTCAGCTGCTGCTCAGGCCCACTCCCCCACTGTGGGGCGTACTTTCGTTTTCAATACATCTCTGCTTTTGTTCTTCTGTTGCTTCGATCTTTCTTTCCTTTGCTGGGCATTTTGTCCAATTCTTTCTTCAAAATGCCAAGAACCTGGACAACCTGCAGTCACAATCCTCTACCAGTGACAATATGACTTTATAATATTAGGGAAAAGTCCTTTCCATGCCTCATAAAATGCGATCAATTCATAATTTTGGTGCTGAGAGAATTTACTTTCACACATTCCAGTTTTATTTTGAGAATTCAATTATTAAAAAGAAAATTCTCAATTTGGGTAAGAATCTGGGCCTGAATTATAAATCTCAATAAAAGAAAGTACCCAGGCAAGGCCCAGAACCTCTATGAAGTACACGATATGATGGAAATTTAAAAACACTTGTTAAAAAAAAAAATCACACACATTTTCATTTGTTTATATCCATAAAAATATCAACTCAAAAAAAAAACCTACTTAAATAATTATCCTTGAAAATCCAAGTAAAAACAATGTGTAAGACTAGTCTCTACAGCTCGTTTGTTGGTTGGTTGATTTTGAGAAAGTAAGTAAACCAATACTTTATTATGTAGTAACAACAAATCCAAATAAAAGCATCTTCAAATATGACCAAGAAGCTTCAGAACAGACGCTTCCTACTTGATACAATTTTGTCTGTTCCCCTGGGAGTAATAAAGAACTCTCTTTGCACTGTCAAATTTATAAAAGTTAAGCAACCACTTTTCATCCGGCCTGAAACATCCACAAGCCTTTTTATTGAAATGTAGTTCTTTCTATATAAACACAGAGAGGCAACAAGCAGAGGCACACAGACACAGAACTACCAAGTAAACAGCCACTGAGTCCTATCAAGATTTGTCACTTTTCTTCTACTAGTCTTTTACGTCTGAACAACAACAACAAAAAGTTTGTTCCCTCTCTGGTAGGAATGACTGCATTAAGCAGGTCAAACTCCATTATCAAAAATAACAGTTACGAGCCACCCAGAAAGCTACAGAAATTAGTGCCATGCTAACAAATGCATAACTAAAATTTAACTGTAGGAAATCCACAAAACCCAGTATGTTGATGAAACAACAGAAAAATGCAGTCGAAAGACGTGATCACTGTGTTTGAAATCCCCTTAAAGATTTGAGACATGATCCCAGAGTAATAAGGCAAAAGAGCAACTTGATCAGATGGTAGAAAAGAAAGAAAATTATCTTTGGAGGACAGGAGGAAATAAGATTAGAATAGCCTGGAACATAGTTAAGGCCAGACTATGAATCTCTCTTCAATAAATCTACCTAAACTTTTTTGGAGTCAATTTACATGTTTACTCAATATAATTTCTTAGGGTGATAAAATGCTACAAAATTTCATTCTGTAAAATGACAGAAATGAAATGTACAATTTAACTTTCTAACAGTAGAGTTGTTTTTCTCAGTAGGAATAACAAATGCAATGATCCATTCAAGGGAAAAATTGGTATTTTATTCATCTTTGAATACTTGACAAGGGTAAATAACAGTCAATAAGAATTTGTTGAAGAACAGGAAACATTTCCCAGAACAGGAGCTGCATCTGCAGCTGTGGCCATGGAACAAGAAAAAATGCCAGCTGGCCTATTCAAAAACTGAAACTGGTAAGAAAACTGGTTAATGATTGAGTTCTCACTCAAAAAATTAACTAACATCAGAATGGTCACTTTGATTTTTTTTTTCTTTTGAGACAGGATCTCATTGTGTCACCTAGACTGGAGTGCAGTGGTGCAACTGTGGCTCACTGCAGCCTCCTTGACCTCCCAGGCTCAAGCAATCTTCCCACCTCAGCCTCCTGAGGAGCTGGGACCACAGGTGCATACCATCAAGCCCAGCTAATTGTTAAACATTTTTTTTTTTAGAGATGGGGTCTCACTGTATTGCCCAAGCTGGTCTCAAATTGCTGGGCTCCGATGATCCTCCCACTTCAGCCTCCTGAAGTGCTGGGATTATAGGTGTGAGCCCCCACACCGGCCTCACTCTGACTTCTAATTCTTCTAGATCTTTTCCTTTAACAAAATTATTTTTATGAACCAAAATAAGATTAAATTGTCATAGCTTCTGCCTTTTTTCATTATATATTATAATATCTGTTCATATCAAGGGATAATTATCAAGGACAATGATTTTCATTGTAGAATGTGTGGACACACAGTCCTCCATGTCCATGGGTTCTGCATCCGTGCACTCAACTTCAAATTGAAAATATAAAACATTAAAAAAAATTGTGTCTGAACTAAACATACAGCCACATCTATAATACTTTTTAATCTTTTCCAGTTTGATTACTCACTAACCATTAACATCCTGCATTGAAACAAAGTAGATGTGTAAGGAGATATTTAACGCTTTCTCTAAAATATGGCAAAACTACTGTCAATTGACACACAGATTTTTCATTTCTTTAGAAAACACAAATTTATTTTTAAAATGTCCCCTGGAACAAAGATGACAATCTCTGGTGACTAGGAAGAGTCCTGCTGCTACTGCACTTCTCTGGTAGAGGCAGAAAAGAAGTAGTTTCTGTTCTCCTTCTTATTTTGGCCCTATCTAATCTCTTTTTCTTGTGCTGTTTATATATTAATTCAATAAATACCACTAGAGAGGGATGATGATGGAATACTAAGCCCTATCCCTTGTTTTCCTTTCACTAAGGGTTCTCTCTCTGACTTCAGATAGAGAGCTGAGAAATAAGGGAGCAGAACCAGGTTAAAAGCTCAACCTTCAAAGTCTACCCTTCAGTGTTGCTGCTATTTTTAAAGGACAATAAGGGCCAGGCACAGTGGCTCATGCCTATAATCCCAACACTTTGGGAAGCTGAGGCAGGAAGATCACTTGAGGCCAAGAGTTTGAGACCAGCCTGGGCAGCACAGCAAGGCCCTGTCTTTTTAAAAAAAAAAAAAAAAAAAAAAAAAAAAAGCTGGGTGTGAGGCTGGGTACAGTGGCTCACGCCTGTAATCCCAGCACTTTGGGAGGCTGAGGTGAGCGGATCATGAGGTCAGGAGTTCGAGACCAGCCTGGCTAATATGGTGAAACCCCATCTCTACTAAAAATACAAAAATTAGCAGGGCATGGTGGCGGGCACCTGTAATCCTAGCTACTTGGGAGGCTAAGGCAGAGAATGGCTTGAACCCAGGAGGTGGAGGCTGCAGTGAGCCGAGATTGCACCACTGCACTCCAGCCTGGGTGACGGGGCAAGACTCTATCTCCAAAAAAAAAAGAGAAAAAGAAAAAGAAAACTACGTAGGATAAAATTAAAAGAGCAATAGAAACAAAGAAATACAAGGACAAGAAATGAAAAGAGAAGACATGATTTAGCTTCAAATACTAGAGAAATTTCACTTAAAATTTTTATAAGTACCACTTCTCATAAGAATTCAATTCTTGGCCAGGCACGGTGGTTCACGCCTGTAATTCCAGCACTTTGGGAGGCCAAGGTGGGCAGATCATGAGGTCAGGAGTTCAAGACCAGCCTGGCCAACATGGTGAAATCCTGTCTGTACTAAAAATACAAAAATTAGCCGGTTGTGGTGGTGCACGCCTGTGCTAGCTACTCAGGAGGCTGAGGCGTGACAACTGCTTGAACCTGAAGACAGAGGTTGCAGTGAGCTGAGATCGTGCCACTGCACTCCAGCTTGGGCATCAGCGCAAAACTCCATCTCAAAAAAACCCCCCAGAAAACTGTTATCTTTAAATAAAAAGCACTTGACTCCCCAGCTATCTTGGCAGCTGCTCTTAGTTAGGGACCTTCCTGGACTTAAGGCAGGATGGTCTCAAAGAAGAGGAAAAAGTCAGTGGAGTTGATCAACTCTAGGCTCCAACTCGTTATGAAAAGTGGAAAGTATGTGCTGGGGTAAAAGCAGACTCTGAAGATGATCAGACAAGGCAAAGCAAAATTGGTCATCCTCACTAAAACTGTCCAGCTTTGAGGAAATCTGAAATAGAGTGCTATACAATGTTGGCCAAAACTGCTGTCCATCACTACAGTGGCAATGATGGGCAGAGCATGCAGAAAATACTAGAGAGTATACACACTGGCTATCACTGATCCAGGCAGTTCTAATATCACTAGAAGCATGCTAGAAGAGACTGGTGAAAAGTAAGCCATGCAAAATTTTTATTCTTTTTAATTTTTTTTTTTTTTTTTTTTTTGAGACGGAGTCTCGCTCTGTTGCCCAGGCTGGAGTGCAGTGGCGCGATCTCTGCTCACTGCAAGCTCCGCTGCCTCCCGGGTTCACGCCATTCTCCTGCCTCAGCCTCCCTAGAAGCTGGGACTACAGGCGCCCGCCACCACGTCCAGCTAATTTTTTTGTATTTTTTTAGTAGAGACGGGGTTTCACCGTGTTCGCCAGGATGGTCTCGATCTCCTGACCTCGTGATCCGCCCGCCTCGGCCTCCCAAAGTGCTGAGATTACAGGCGTGAGCCACCGCGCCCGGCACAAAATTTTTATTTAATAAAACTTGTCAGAGCTTATTGCACCACCTTGCTATAAATTTGTAAGAGTCTGGGAAACTGAAAAACAATTTCCATGAATTGTATAGTTCCACAAAAACTTTCCCTACTTTACTGTTTGCCAAAAAACAAGTGAACCCCCAAAAACTATACTTTTTATTCCTTGCATGAAAAATCTCACCTATCAATTTCTTCGAGTTTTTCATCTATCATTGGACCCATCTGTTGGCAGATATCTGTAAATACAAAAATACTTACAAACACAGAAAATCCAATTTAAGCCAATTTCAACAATTTTTAACAATATAGCACCAATATACAGCACTATGCATAATACACAGAGATTAAGCTCATGCTAGAGAAAGACTACTATTCAGCACTACTACTGTACATTACTATCATGTGACTAAAAGCAAGGTCAACTTTAAAATAAAAATCTCATTATGTTTTCTTGAAACTATTAACTAAGTTGACAGACTGTCAAATCTGGAGTTATCCCAAAGTCTTAAAGACATCCAGAAAACTATGATTAGTTAACTAAAACAAACTTGAGCCACAATATATAAATTATGTAACCTTTGCCCATCAGATATGAAGATTTTTCATTTACTTAAGACATTTCAAGACTAAACAGTGTATTTCCCAATGTGAACACTGATACTATAAAGAGCACAATGCTGTATTCTATATTCATAACCAGAAGTTTCTTCTATAAAGATTTAACAAGGATTATTCATTTACCAGAGATTCTTCTCCCAAGGGATTTTTTTAAAAAACAAAAAAACACGTTTTAATTGTTCTCACATTTCTTGAGATTAAAAGACACATCAACATGCATCAAGTGACTATGTTATGAAGTTAACAATGATCATGTGTAATTTTGTCCTTTAAATTCATAATACAAGAAAATTAAACAGGAATAAGCATTTTAAACGTTTTGACTCAATTTGATATGCTGTTATTTTTAATTCTGTCCTTTTTTGGACTGCAAAAATCTTCAGCCAATTTTACTTGTAGGCTTAAAGAAATACAAAGACTTCCTTTATGAAAAGGATTTGCAGGTTTATGACAATGCCTTCCAAGTAATATTTATTATTTTACTGTACTAGTCTGTTCCCCACCAGAGATTTCTAACCTCTAGAGGCAAATACAAGGCAGAAGAAACTGAAGACATTATGAATAGCTAAAATACTAAATAATATTAAAATAATATCTAATATTCACTACCTTCTAAATCCAAAAGGTCTTGGGAGTCTGGTTTTGAATCTGTTGGATCTATACTCTGAAGTACCTGCAGGGCTCTATCCATCTTATCCTAAAAAAGTAATAGGACACTTTTTAAAAACTCAAGAGTTTTAACTTCAGTGAATATGAAATTACTCTTTCCAAGCACTCTCAAAGATAGTACATTTAAATGTCTTGATAGTTTAACTATTAAACAAAAGAGGGACTCTACCTCATCTATATAAACAGGCTCAGGCTCTGATTTCTTAATTTCCTCCACATCATCATCAATTACATTCAATTTGTCCACAGCCGCTATAGAAACAAAGTAAATTTTAAGTTCCTCAGCATTTACTTCAGTAATTTTAGTTATTAATTTATAAGTGGCCTATGATTGTCCATAAGAAAAAAAAATAGAAGTCCTTCAAATATTCACCACATTTCATAATCAATATGTTATTACATACGTTTGGTCATTTATTTCATAAACATTTATTTAGAACTCATTATGTGCCAGGCATTGTTCAGGCATTTATACATACACCGGTGAATAAAACAGACAAGAATCTCTAACCTCATGGAACTTAAAATTTTAGTGGAACAAATGTGCAATATTAACAGCAGCTGACATTTTAGGCATTTTCCTGAAAACTGAGAGTTACCACTGGGGTGAATAAATGTATAAGAGCAGATTATTATCTATCTAGCTAATTTCGAACTTACATCTATGAGTTCCTTCTACTCTTCCTTTCTATTAAAAAAAACTATTGCCTATATGAACAAAAAATAAAACTTATTTTAAGCTAACTTTGATAATAGTTAAAACAACACTAAACACAAAAGTTTTTCATGAAGGTTGAAAAAAAACTTACAAATACACAAACCCAGAAAACTATTTAAATGTTCCCTGAAGTATTGCTAGAATGTACCATATTTTAACAAAGTAAATTTTGGTAAAAATAAAACAACAATAAAAACCTACGTAGCCAAACAATTTTAAATCCCAACTGTTAGCCATTTATTTCAAACATATGGCTAACTTTCAAAGAACAGAAGTCAGCATAACACAAGGATAAGCTGAAAACCCACAATATTTTTTCCTGTTAATACTTTCCAGCCTATGTCAAGGAGAAATTGCTGTGTAGAATCCCCTGAGCATGATCTATGAAGTTATTTTTTAAAGGTATCTCCATTATTCCTATCTACTTAGACAGTCAGATAAGAGGAATAAAAGTATAAATAATGGCAAAGTACTCTATATTCACATCAGTGAGTATCAGCCTCTCACGACTTCATTTTTCTGAATGTATCACTCTACACATACAAAGACGATGTTACACATGATGCTTTCATTTGAAGTTCTTTCTCCTGAACTGGAAAGGATTAGCACTGATATATCCCTCAGTGAGTCAGTGTTAAGGTCAGACTGTCTTGACTTTAGAATCCTGGCTCAATCACTTACTAGACACATAACCCCTCAGCCTCAGTGTCCTTATCTGTAAGACAGGGCAACTATCTCACAGAACAGTAGCTATCTCACAGAACTGTGAGACTGAAATGCAATAGTACAAATGACTTAGCACAATGCCTGACAAATAATGAATGCTCAAAAACCAGTAACTATTTCTAATTATCATCATTAGTATTATTACAAGCTGTTCCTTTACACTCAGATCCCCCCACCTCCCTACCTGAATAACAAATGGAATGCTTTCTCAGCATCGTTGACAATGGCTAAAATGTCTAAAATGGAACTGTTTGTGGCTGCAGACTGACTAAAGTTCAGCAGATCTGAACCAGGAAGCTTAGTGGCTTGATTACATTACTTTATTATTGTTTCAAGCTCCCTAGGATCAAATCAAGGTGAGGAAAGGTCTAAAATTTAGGAGTACTCCTAAACCCAGTAATTATATTTGGCACTTGCCAACCACAACCTCCCCACACCATTCCCACTTTGCCACTGTGGTTCACTGATGAATCAAAACACTCTTTGTACAGAATAGATATGAACTGCCTCTTACACTACACAGTTAGGTTGATTTAAATATCTGCATGGTCACATATGATTTTATGCCTGACTTAACTATGTATGCTAACTCTCAGAAGATGTAAAATAAGAGGAAATATTCTTGCGATTGACACAGGCTAAATTAACCCCTTAATTCGGTTAAAAAGTAGGTTAGATTGTCAGGCCTATAAAGAAACGATTTAAAACAAAAAGTTAAATGCCAATCTACTTTACATCCAAAACCAAATCATAAAATTTAAGTGAAAAAAACTTAAATAGATCTAATGTTCTCTAAGTTAACTTACCTGCCTCAGTCTCTACGTTTAAATTAGTTGTTACAAAATTGGATGGGAAAAGTCCTATTCCTCTGTGATTTTCTCCTTTCCACCAATTGGCATCACTAAAAATACAGTGCAAAAAATATCATTTGTTCCCCCACATTTTAATATAATAGCAAAGAGGAATTAAAAATTAAATTTAGCCTCCTTTGAATATATTCGTTTACATGCAGCTATAATTAAGTCATTTTTCTTAAATTTAATAAATATTAAAAAGTACAAGTAAAACAAATATCCACATCCCTATATCTAAACTTAGAACCAGGCCAGGCACGGTGGCTCACACCTATAATCCCAACACTTTGGGAGGCCAAGGTGGGCAGATCACCTGAGGTCAGGAGTTTGAGACCAGCCTGGCCAACATGGTGAAACCTCGTTTCTACTAAAAATACAAAAATTAGCCAGGCATGGTGGTGCACACCTGTAGCCCCAGCTACCTGGGAGGCTGAGGCAGAAGAATCACTTAAACCTGGGAAGAAGAGGTTGCAGTGAGCCAAGATGGCGCCACTGCACTCCAGCCTGGGTGACACAGCAAGACTCATCTCAAAAAAACAAACAAAAAAAAATTTAGAACCAATTAGCAATTCATCATTTGTTACTCTGGGCTTTAAAAAAGTAAGGCTGGGTGCGGTCATGCCTGTAATCCTAGCACTGTGGGAGGTTGAGGTGGATGGATCACCTGAGGTCGGGAGTTCCAGACTAGCTGGGCTAACATGACAAAACCCCATCTCTACTAAAAATACAAAAATTAGCCGGGTGTGGTGGCAGGTGCCTGTAATCCCACAACTCAGAAGCCTGAGGCATGAGAATCGCTTTAACCCGGGAGGCAGAGGTTGCAATAAGCTGAGATCACGTCACTGCACTCCAGCCTGGGGAACAGAGTGAGACTCTGTCTCAAAAAATAATAATAATAAAATTAAAAAATTAAAAAGTAAACAGGAAACACTTAAGTGCCCTTTAGTAATGACCCTAAATCCCAGGCCACATCCATCTTACCACACTACCATAATAAAGTTGGTAGCCTTCCTGTCGGTTTTTTGTTCTTTTACACGTATCTATAGCCAAGTCCATATAGAAACAGACAGACATAGATGCTAATCCATACAGATCTTTTTAATTTTATATATTAATTCTTTCAAATTTTGCTTATTCTTTTTAAATTAAAATTCCATCACACGAATGGGCCATATTTAGCCATTCCTGTACAGATGGATATTTAGGTTGATTCCAGTCTTTCACCATTATAAAGATAACGTAATGATCATCCTAGACTTGAAGACACACATGCAACAATTTCTCTGCACTTATTCACAGACGTGAACTTGTTGGGATTTAAGAATATAAATATTTCGTGGTTTTTTTTTTTTTTTTTTTTTTTTGAGATGGGGTCTTGCTGTGTTACCCAGGCTGGAGTGCAGTGGCGCGATCTTGGCTCACTGCAACCTCTGCCTCCCAGATTCAAGCCATTCTCCTGTCACAGTCTCCCAAGTAGCTGGGACTATAGGTATGCACCACCACTCCTGGCTCATTTTTGTATTTTTAGTAGAGATGGGGTTTTGCCATGTTGGTCAGGCTGGTCTCAAACTTGATCTCAAGTGATCTGCCTGCCTCAGCCTCCCCAAGTGCTAGGATTACAGGTGAGCCACCACACCTAGCCATAAGCATTTCATTTTACTAGATACTGCCAAATGTTCCCTAGAATGGCTGGGAAAATTCACCTTCCTCCTTTCCCCGTTGCATGTAACAATGTAATCTTCCCTTATATGTGATAATTTTCCCAACTAACACTTGATAATTAGACAGGAGAGAAATCGTATTTCACTGTATGCACGTGCATTTCCCAAGCATCTACTTGTGCTTGCTAGCTATTCAGATTGCCTTTTCTGTAAATTGCCTGTTCATATTTTTGCCCACTTTTCTTATTCTACTGGGTCATTTGTCTTTTTTCATGGATCTGTAGAAGTTCTTTATATATTTTGGACAGCAGTTGTTTGTCTGAATTATGCAGATACCTTCTTCCAGGCTATCACTGTCTTTTTAGTATATGTTTATGGCTTAACTGTACAGTGGCTTTCTTCCCCTATGCAATCAAATTTGGCAATCTTTTCTTTCATGGCTTATACTTTTACCTTTTTCTACCCTTAAACTCCTAAATCTATTCTCCTATATACTTAACTGTAGTTTTAGTTTGTTTTTGCTATTTTTTTTCCCTCTCATATGTTTAGGTCTTTAGTTCATTTGGAATGAAATTTTAATGTACTATGTGAAACTAATCAAAATTTTATCTGTACTATAAAAAGAGCCATTCATCACAGCAAAATTTATTAAATAGTCCATGTTTTCTACTAATTTATAATACCCTACCTTTCAAACAGTAATCTGTTCATGAGCCTATTTCTAGATTCCATTCTGTTGCAATAGTCCATATATCTATTTACGCATCTTGTTAATGTACCTTAATATCTGCCAGGGAAAATACCCTTTCTATATTACTCTTTCTCACTTATTACACACCTTCAAATTTCCACATTTACATTAAATTACTTTTCAAGTTTTCTGGGGAAAAAGTCCCGTTGGGATTTGAACTGGAAATGCACCAAAATTATGCAATAATATAAGAAAAACGAAATCTTTGTAATATTAAGGTTTCTTCCCTACGAACATGGTATCTTTCTCCATTTACATTTATATAAAACATAATGTGTAAATATATATTTGTATCCTTTTATAGCTTTCAAATAATTTTATAATTTAATCCATAAAGACCTTATGTATCTTTGTTAGGCTTATTCATTTCTAGATCATTTATATAATTTTTGTTACTACTGATAATGCCTTTTTTTCTACTATATTTTCTAAAAAGTTGTGATTAAAGCATACTACTGAGTTTTGTATGTTGAGCTTGTATCCAACAACCCTGATGAACTCCTACCACTTGAAATAGTATGTCCACTGGACTCCTGAACTTTCTATATGGAAAATCACAGTATCTGGAAATAATGATAATTTTATCTATTCCTTTCCAAAAATCTGACTTACTGAACATTCTTAAGTATGAGTCTTATGGATGAATTAATGTCTATGATTATGAAACATCATTTCATTTATGAGCACTAGAAAGAGATGAAAGAGTGATATATCATCCAAGTTCTTAAAGCCAGAAAATAACTGATGTATTGATGTACTGACAGTTCTAAGATATCATATCTGCAAATATCTATGTAAGATAGGAAAAAGTTTCTTTCTCTTACAACATATTTTTAAGTTAACTTTTCATTTTGAAAAGGAAAGCTGAACTTGAGAAATTTTTATATAAAACGAGAGAACCCAAACCTGTGAAATGAATGCACGCATTTTATATGAACCTATCAACAACTATATGTATACCCTTCCTCAGTGGTCCTACCAATATAGGATACTTTTCCTCCCAGCCACTACTACAAACTCTGATGAAGCATAAAAGTAGGCAAAGCAACCAAATTGACAACTCCTTTCCAGTCCTAATCTAGCTGTATACTCTCTTCACTGACTACAAGTTGATTCTATGGAATGCTGATGGCAAAAAAAACGTTGTTCAAGTTTAAATTCCCAAATTAAAGAAATTGGCACTCTAATTTTACACAAATCATTTAACAATTAAAGAAAACTTTAATGTAGCATTTATATTTAGAGCTTTTTATATTAAAAAAATAAATCACAACTGAGTGAAAAACAAAAAAATGATACAAGTCTAAAGAACATAAACCTCACCTTCAACAAACATTATTCAGCTAACATTTATGAAAACCTACCATGGAGAAAATAGTACCTTCAGGCTAAGCACTGAAGTTACAAAGATAATCAGGACACCATTTGTGCCCTCAAGAAGTTTAAAATCTAGCACAAAGTTGTAGTCCCAGTTACCCAGGAGGCGGAGGGACAAGGCCTGCTTGAGTCCAGGAGTCCAGGCTGTAGTGTGCTACGCCCACGTCTGTGAATAACCACTGCACTCCAGCCTGGGCAACCCAGTCACACTCTATCTATAAAAACAAGAAAAAAAAAAATCTGGCAGTGTTTTACAACCTTTCCTACAGAATTGACTAAAAACATGTTATCTTGCTTTACCATCAGAATTGGTTTTCTCCTTTCCCCTTTCTCCCGCCCAAGGAAGTGATGAGCCTCTTCAGAATCAACTGATTTAGTAGAGAGACATATGTAAAGAAGTGCAGTTTGCCCTCCGTATCTGGCGAGTGCTACATCCATGGACTCAACAAACCCCAAATGAAAAGTATTCATGAAAGATAAACAAAAATGACAATAGAACAAAAAAAAAAAATTTTTAAATACAATATGTTGTATTTAAAAATACAATATAGTGATTTGCATAGCATTTACATTGTATCAGGTACTATAAGTTATCTAGAGATAATTTAAAATATATAGGAAGATATGTGTAAGTTATATGCAAATATGATGCCATTTTATATCAAAGACTTGCATCTGTGGATTTTGGTATCAACAGGGGTCCTGGAACCAACCCTCTAAGGAATTGAGAAATGACTCTGTTTAAAATACAGTATGAGAAATACTGTTATATATGTTCAGAGAGCTATAGCTCAAAGAAGGGAACTCCTAACTCCACTGGGAACTAAAAAGCAGAGAAAGGTTGAAAGGCTTCCCAGAGGATGTAAAATCTGACACGGGTTTTGAAGGTTCAGTAGGCACTTGCCAGGAGGAAAAGAAAATTAAGGCTGTGGAAATAAAAATGACATTTTGTCCTCCTGTCATTATTGATAAGCAAGAAAACAAGGCACAAAGAAACAAAAACCTCTGTACTCAGATAAAACAAAAAATATTACCATACTTAGTTTTAGGTCTCAAAGTACATGAAAACTTGAGCGTTTCCTTTTAACTACTGATTTCTTAACAAAAAGTACTCACCTGCTAACTTTTGCAATGACAATGACTGAAGGTAGTAATGTCCTCTCTGGATATAAGAATCACATGAGAAAACTGCCATTTCTACCATGAACATATAAATAGTACACCTGGAAAAATTTGCTAATCTTGTGGGGGTCTTATTCCTTAAAATACCTGTTTTATTTTTCAATACGGGGAGGCAACTTTTCTAAAGCTTGGACTCCCTTGCAACCTGTCCTTGAAAGTAAAGTTCTTCTCCTTTTCTAAATGCTTTTACCTCCTTCAACAGGGCTTTCCAGGCAGACAGAACCAAAGGTACAACGCTACAGAGGACTAAGCGGAAAATGGCATTTTTGGAACTGCAAGAATTCCACTTGATTATCTGAAATGGTACACAGAAAACAAACATGGAGTGGGCCAGGCATGGTGGCTCACGCCTGTAATCCTGGCACTTTGGGAGGCTGAGGCTGGTGGATCACTTGAGGCCAGGACTTTGAGACCAGCCTGGCCAACATGGTGAAACCCTGTCTCTACCCCTAAAAGTACAAAAAATTAGCTGGGCATGGTGGTGCATGCCTGTATTCCCAGCTACTCAGGAGGCTGAGGTGGGAGAATCGCTTGAACCTGGGAGGTGGAGGTTGCAGTGAGCTGAGATCATGCCACTGCACTCCAGCCTGGGCAACAGAGTGAGACCCTGTCTCAAAAAAAAGAAAGAAAAAGAAAAGAAAAGAAAAGAAACATGGAGTGGTAAGATAAAGCTAAAATGTAGAAAGTGAAAAGCTTTTCTTGATATACTCTGTTAATAAAAAATGTGCACCTTTGGGCTGGCGCAGTGGCTCATGCCTGTAATCCCAGCACTTTGGGAGGCCAAGGTGGGCAGATCATCTGAGGTCAGGAGTTCGAGACCAGCCTGGCCAACGTGGTGAAACCCTGTCTCTACTAAAAATACAAAAATTAGCTGGGCATGGTGGCGCATGCCTGTAATCCCAGCCACTGGAGAGGCTGAGGCAGAAGAATCACTTGAACATAGGAGGCGGGGGTTGCAGTGAGATGAAATGGCACCACTGCACTCCAGCCTGGGTGACAGAGCGAGACTCTGTCTCAAATAAAAAAATAAGAAATGTGCACCTTTTCTATCAGCTCAATGGTTTTTCTTTGTTTGTTTTTGAGACAGTCTCGCTCTGTCATCCAGGCTGGAGTGCAGTGATATAATCTCGGCTCACTGCAACCTCTGCTTCCCAGGTTCCAGTGATTCTCCTGCCTCAGCCTCCCAAGTAGCTGGGACTACAGGCGTGCACGCTACCATGCACGGCTAATTTTTGTATTTTTAATAGAGATGGGGTTTCACTATATTGGCCAAGGTGGTCTCGAACTCCTGACCTCATGATCGGCCCACCTCAGCCTCCCAAAATGCTGGGATTACAGGTGTGAGCCACAATGCCCTGCCAGCTCAATGGTTCTTAAATGGAGATCCAAGAATGATATGTTTTCAAGGGACTTCAAGGGACTTCTGTGTGTGAAAATTTTACGCTTTACATTCCACAAAAGTATACAAACAATGAGTAGAGTCATTTTCTGGATGACCTCCTTTTAACCGAAGACTGTCATTTAACTTTAGCATGCAAGTTTGCATTTGTCTACCAGCGATTACCAATCACCTAGAATGACAATATTTTACCCATAAGCATGCTTACAGCAACTATAAAATTGTGGTGTACTATTGTCAAAATGACAGCAATTGACCTACATATTCCATCATATTCATGTTGAATTATTTTAGCAGTTACAATTTAAAAAGTTCTTTTTTGTGGTGATAAACCTTAATTGAAAATTGTTTGGTGAGCAGCAGTTTATTTTAGAAAATTTTGTTATATAAAGTAATGCTCTAAATTAAAATCTTAGATAAAACCACCCATTTTGTTTTTATTTTATAAATATCTTTAACTTCATAGTTGTATAAGAATATCAAAACAGTAAACATAAGCTCTTTTGTAAGTACTCTAACTAAAAGACACTTATAAGCCTGACATTTTAGACTGCCAGTGTTCAGAGCCCACACTGTCTCTCCGCCTTTACAGATAGTCTCAAACTCATGATGGCATGACTTACGATGGTGCAAAAGTGATACACACTGAGCTACCCATAAACCATTCTGGTTTTAACTTTCAGTACAGTATTCAATAAGTCACATGAGATATTCAATACTTTATTATAATAAATAGGTTTTGTGTTACATGATTTTGCCCAACTGTAGGCTAATATAAGTTGAGCAGTATCTGCATTTCTATCTATTCTCCTTCAGGGATCATGGCGTTCCACTCCAAATGATTATTTTTTTTTTTTTATTTTTTCTTCATGGAAAAAAGATTTTCTAAGTGAAGATGGTATTATCTTGATTGTCTAAGAGACCTTCCTTTTCCCATCCTCAATTTCTTGCAAAATTTTTTATCCTATCAAAACCAATCAAGAAACACAACTCAAATGGAACCCTAGGATAAGCCTTCTTTGCCAGATGCTTGCACCAAGTATAAATCTGCTATCTGGGCTCCAACAGCACCTCTTTTATGGTATTCACCACATTCTGCCTTCCATACAACTGTCTATATTGTAATTTTAACTCCCTTACTTTATTCTAGGTTTTATGAAGACAACTGTGTCCTCATTTGTTATTAATTATAAATAGTCGATTATATAACATTTTCTCAATAAATATTTACAACAGCAAAGTAAAACCATTACTTATCTACCCTTTATCTTAAAATATACTAGAAATATTAGACTAGTGCGTTATAAATAAGTTATTTATAATGGATACCAAATACATCTGCAATCTCTGTTCACAGCAACAAGCTTATTTCTCACTCTTGCTAAGTTCCATGAACTTCCTTTAAAAGTACAGAACAGTATTAAGCTCAACAGAGATCTATTTTTTATGACAGCTTTAAATGGCAGGAAAATTCTGAGAAGAGTACAGTAGTAGATTAAGAAATGGGGAGGAGCCAAGTTTAGCTTTTGGTGCTTTGATCAAGGGTATATTGCTATATTTCTTCCTAAAGTTTTTCTGCCAGTAATTTCAGTACACACAACTGCCAACGTAAACATATACAAGTAACTGAGTATTTACGTTTCCCACTTGTGGTCATCAGCAGTATTTAATACGTCTTTCATCCAATACATAAATTATCAAATATAACAAACATAAATTATCAAATATAACAAGAGGAGGCTCACAGTATCTACCTTTTATTTTAGAAAAAAATAAGGTATGAAAATGTTCTATTATTATTTAAATACACTAAAAGTCAAAGAACTGAATACTCTGGATTCTAAAAGAAGGGCATTACACTTTAAAACTTTCCATAAAGATTTAAAACATACCTGTCATCCAAAACAATAATTATTTCACCATGTTTAAAGGTGAGTTCATTGTCCTCAACAGCTTCAAAATCATATAAAGCTCTCACTTTCCGTGCAACCTTATTATTTAACTGAATTTCTGCAGATGGATATAAGGATTTTGTTTCTGTGTGTTGCTGTTTCTGTTCTTGCAGCGATAATTCAATAGCTAGTTTTGAAAATTAAAATGCAAAGCAACTGGAATTAATTTTGATAAACATTAGATGGCAATGTAAAATTTAACAAGAATAAATCAAGCATTTTATTTGTCTAGTTACAAGCTACAGTTATCTTTCGGTAGGGTGGGGCAGGGCAGGGAACCGTGACATTTTTAAAATAAAGTTTTTGCTCATTCCTTATTATCACGGTCTGTCATATACAGCAGCAATTATTTTTATAGCAAACAGATTGTGACATTATAATATGGGTAGCTTTCCATATGCTTGACTCATAATTTTGGCATTAAAAAAAAGGTGAAATGTAATCTCTCCAAAGGTAGCACATCAAATATATATTATTGAAAAAAGATAATGAATTAAATTCATTTGGCAGCATGTCATTTGTTTTCCTTCTTTTTGGACGCTACTAGTTTTTAGATTTGAGGTAGAAATAAAAGTATACTAGTTTTATTATCATTTTTATTTAAAAAAATGTTCTGGCAAAGGTATTTTAAGCAACACTAAATTACACGTGCTTGATCATTTACCTTTAGCTATGTCTTCATCCTCTTTGTTTTTGTTCGATGACGTACCATTCTTGGCGGCAGCTGAGACAGTCTGTAAATGTATGAGTAAAATGAACACAACTATCTCTTCAAACAAAACACAAGCTCTATGATTACTTGCAGATGCTAAATTTTAAAAACTACTGATATAACTGAGTTTCATTTAAAAGTGAAGTTCTTCTCTGAGACAGGGTCTCACTCTGTCAGCCAGGCTGGAGTGCATGGCACAGTCATAGCTCACTGAAACTTCCAACTCCTGGGCTCAAGTGATCCTCTTACCTCAGCCTCCTGGGAAGCTGGAACTACAAGTATATACCTCCACATCTGGCTAATTTTTATTTTTTGTAGAGCCAGGATCTCACTATGTTTCCCATGCTGATCTGCAACTCTTAGCCTCAAGTGATTCTCCTGTCTCAGCCTCCCAAAGTGCTAAGATTACAGGCATGAGCCACCATGACTGATCTAAAAGTGAAGTTCTTTATAATAATTTTAAGTAATTGTTTTCAAATCCTAAAATAAAACATCAGATTTTTCAAGAAAACATTATCAACTCACACAGGACTCAAACTGGCTTAGATTTTGCATAAATCTAACACAGAACTTGGCATACAGAAAGTACTTAAATATTAATATAATAAAAAAATATGACTCTTTCCTGATTGTATTCCTGATCTCAAGGTCTCTTAGTGAGAGGAGCTCTACTGCTACAGGAGTACAGCTACACGAGAAGTGCCAGCAAGAAGTCATGATCACCACTGAAGAGAGAGGAGTGGGGACAGAGACAAGAGGTGCAGTTCTAGGAATATGTGTGAAGTCCTTTTACTAGTTACTGTGGCTGGATGGCAGTGGTCTGCTAGGCAAAGTAGAGAACTAAGGAAGGTCATGCTTGAATTTAATAAGTGGCATGTAAGACAGGTATCCAGGACTCTGATCCATCAACCAGTTCTTTACATAGATTTTTCAGAAAAATATGCAGAAAGGACAGAACAGGAAAATGTTTCCTTTTTATTATTTATAAGACTTTTATCTCAAAACTCTACCTTGTACTCTTAGGTCTGGTCAGTTATAATCTTTTTTCAGTTGGTGTGGCTCATGCCTGTAATCCCAGCACTTTGGGAGGTCGAGGCAGGTGGATCACCTGAGGTCAGAAGTTCGAGACCAGCCTGGCCAACATGGTGAAACCCCATCTCTACTAAAAATACAAAATATTAGCCGGGCATGGTGGTAGGAGGCACCTGTAATCCCAGCTACTCTAGAGGCAGAGGCATGAAAATTGCTTGAACCCAGGAGACAGAGATTGCAGTGAGCCAAGGTTGCGCCACTGCACTCCGGCCTGGACAAGAGTGAAACTCCGTCTCCAAAAAAAAAAGCATCTTTTTTTCTCTTTAATCTATGATCTAAAAGAAAAGAAAATATAGTACTTCTCATAGTCCTCTTTCCCTAGCCCATATCCTAATATTAATGGCAGGGAATAAGGTACTGAGAGCAAAACCCAAGGAATAGTATTTTCCTCCCCTAGACCTAAAAAAACAGCCCACTCCATGAGTCAACATCCCTGCCTCCACACCCCAGTTCTACTAAAGCTATCCCCTCTACCAGCAAATAAATTTCTAGTCTTACATTTCCATCTATCTTATATGCAAAGCATTCACTCTAGGCATTTTCACTCTTCAACAAACAAGTCTTGAGCCTCTCAATTCCATGAATTTGTTCATTTCACTTATCTCCTGGTGTGACTTCTTCACTTCTAACAAAATAGTAATACATTCAAGTTTCAAAATTCTACCTCTTTACCTTCTTCACCATTCCAATCGGTAGTCACTTCTTTCTCTCTTTAGTATTAAGACAGACAGCATACAGTCTATTCCCCTCATCCTATGTTTGTCACTTACAATCTAAATTAGTTATTTTTCACATGTATAAAGCTATCGTTCAAATTTGCTACAAATTTCTTGACTATAAGGGCTATGTCATACACCTATGCCTTTTACATGACTGCAGACTTAGAGAAACATTAAATATACTATTTTTGTCTGATTAACTTCTCAAGGTTCTGATATGTGGTAGAAATACACAAAAACTAGTATGTCTACTAAATATAAGGAAGGCACTATGCTAGAGAGTCATTTGGGAAGTAGAGGTGGAAAATGATAACCTAGACATACCTTGTCTAGTCTTTACATAATATACATACCTTCAAAATATTACAGGGTCAACCATGGGTCTGAATGAATCTCTCACCTGAGAACCTGCTGGAGGAAAAGTAATTCCTTCCTCTTTCATAGATTTAATAGTTGCAGATATTAGACTAAACTGAGGGTCCTTCTGAAATTCTTCTGACCACTCCACCATTAAAGATTTCAGTTTTTCACATACTTTAGGATGTGCCTTTTAAGGAAAAGGAAAGGGAAATGAACACAAATCTATGGTTAAAATAAGTACTTAAATTATTTAACAAGGAGAATTACCATCAAAATTCTCTTTAATTTTATGAACATCAACAAAAGTCCAGCAATTTCTAGCCTAGCTGAGTAATTGATAGATGCCTATTTACATGCTATTTCATACAAAATGACTGTTTTTAACACCAATTCCTAAGTCTTACTATAATGACAACAAATCTTTTATATTCAGAGATTATTTCCTCCATGTTTTGGAGAAGGGAACCAGAGAAACTTGGATGTAAATCTTGGCTATTCCACTTACTAGCTGCATGACCTTGGACAAGTTACTTCTAAGTCTCAGTTTCTGCATTTATAAAATAAGAATGATAAGGGAATCTAATTTCCAAGAATCTAATGCTCCAAGGGTAGTTAAGAGCATTCAACAAGACAGTATATGTAAAATGCTTAAAGCAATGACTACTTACTGGCCCTCAAAAAGGATTTGCTTTTATCTACAGTATATATACTTTGGGGAGAAGAGTTTTTGGTGCTACAAATTAAAAAATCAAATATCAGAATAGTTTATTTCATTTCAATGTATCTAAAAATGACTTCATTTATAATACTTTAGTAATACCACATATAGTTATAACAATACACAATCTATGTATTTTTTAATGACTTAAATTTCTTCTGTTTTTAAAATTTACCTTATTTTTAATCACAGCACGTACTTCTGTTGCAAAATCACGGGAACATACTTCTAAATGAAATATCTTTCCACAGTTTGCCACACAAGCCCCAAGAAGCTATTAATTGAAATAAAAATTAATATACAAATGTTAAAATATTAACTTACTGCAATTAAAAACATTTAAAATTTGCCTCAAATAACAACACGACTTGTACTCACGGTTAGTGCCTGCAGAGCAACATGTGGAACCTTATGATTTACCCTTTTCATTATGGCTTTTAGGCAATCTTTCGCTCTAAAAATAAAAAAGAGACAGACAGTTAAGTATTTATTGATAAATGTAATTCAAACATTAAGGTATTATTCTATTACCAAATACTTTTATATTTAATGGCTCAGGCCTGTAATTCCAACACTTTGGGAAGCCAAGGCAGAAGGATCACTTGAGCCCAGGAATTTGAGACCAGCCTGGACAACAAAGAACTCATCTCTATAAAAAATTTAAAAATTAGCTGGGCATGGTGGAGTGTGTCTGTACTGCTAGCTACTCAGGAGGCTGAGGCAAGAGGATTGTTTGAGCCCAGGAGGCTGCAGTGAGCTGTGTCATGCCACCGTACTCCAGCCTGGATGACAGAGAGAGACTCTGACTCAAAATAAAATAAAGTAAGTATAAAATAAAAATAAACTAAAATCCTGGAAATTTCATGTTATTAAAGGAATAAATCTATAAAATGATTTTACACAATATTTTGTTTATAGGCTCATAGAACTTTTAAAAAAAAGCATGTTGCAAATGTTGTGTATTCCAAAATCAAGAGATAAACCACTTCACAAACGGTCTGTCAACACAAGAGACGTATACCAGACCTTTCCATTTCTTCAAGACAGATGTAGCTTTCAGACAGCAAAATCTTATCTTGAAAAAAATCTAACATGATATATAAAGTATAAACATGTGAATGTACTATGAAAAGTTTTCATGTTAAAACAAATGCTTTCATCACTCTTCTAAATTTCTAACATATAGTTCAGCTAATTGCCACATCTCCCCAAAAGCACTTTTTATATTCACTTTTTTCACTTGTTAGCCTATTATATTTATATGTATATTACTCAAAGACTTTTTTGTTATATTATCTATTGTGTTATCTACTTTATTATTTAAAAGTTCCCATACATATAGAACTCCTAGAAGAATTCCTTAAATAACTCACCTAAACATTGTTATCATGTATCCCTATTGTGTCAAGGCTTTCATCACGTGTGTGACTAAAGTAGATTTTCAGTTGAACTCTTTTTCATTTGTTCCTTCAGGATGAAGTTAATCCCATAAATCCAGCAACTGGGCTTTTTTAACTTTTATGTCCCAAAGGTACAACAACTGACCCTTTAAGTACATGAAAGTTAGGGGCACCAACACCCCACACAGCCGAAAATCTGTGTATAACTTTTGATTCCCCAAAAGCTTAACTATTAATAGCTTAGTCTTTTTTTTTTTTTGAGACAAGAGTCTCACTCTGCCGCCCAGGCTGGAGTGCAGTGGTGCCATCTCAGTTCATTGCAACCTCTGCCTCCTGGGTTCAAGCGATCCTCCTGTCTCAGCCTCCCAAGTAGCTGGGATTACAGGTGCACACCATTATGTTCAGCTAAGTTTTGTATTTTTAGTAGAGATGAGGTTTTACCATATTGACCAGGCTGGTTTCAAACTCCTGACCTCAAGTGATCTGCTCACCTCAGTCTCTCAAAGTACTGGGATTACAGGCGTGAGCCACTGCAACCAGCCAACTAATAGCCTACTCTTGACCAGAAGCTCTTCACCAATAGCATAAACAGTAGATGGACATATATTTTGTATATACATAATATACTGTATTCTTACAATAAGGTAAGCTAGAGAAAAAAAAAATGTTGTTAAGGAAATCATGAGTTGGAGGAAGAGGGGTTGGTCCTGCAGTCTTAAGAGGTGGCAGAGGTGGAAGAAAACCTATGTATAAGCGGACCCTCACAGTTTAAATCTGTGTTGTTCAAGGGTCAACTGTGATAAAGTCTCATTGTTCTCTCAAAGTTACATCACAAAAAGAGACACTGGTTATCAAGTTCCTAGACATTCACTGAGCATGACTGGACATCTTACCCATTAGGAGTACTTCCAACTTTGTCACATATGTCCATAATAAGACTCCAATCTTCTGTAGTGTTGTACTCATTCGTGGCTTTTTCTATAAAATATATTAGCATACACAACAATGAGGACACATTTCATATAACACTAAAATACCAGTAAAGGCCCAACATTTAAGAAATCCTACCTTTTCTCTTGCCGAAGATACTACAGATGACCTTCAGAAGACAAAAGTACTTCTATTAACTTCAATTTTAAATTGTATAATTAAATGAACTACGTATCTTGAGGTAAAGCAATTAAATGCCTTCTAAATAAACAAATTACTAAGTATCAATAATCCCATAAAATTCTAATTTGGAAGAAAGTTTTAAAAATGTATCATCAGGACTGGGCATGGTGGCTCATGCCTGTAATCCCATGCATGGGTGGCCAAGGCAGGAGGATTGTTTGAGGCCAGGAGTTTGAGACCAGCCTGGGCAATATAGTGAGACCCTGTCTCTACAAAAAATAAATTTTATACATTAGCCAGGCATGGTGGCAAATGCCTGTAATCTTAGCTACTTGGGAGGCTGAAATGGGAGGACTGCTTTGCCTATGAATTCAAGGCCGCAGTGAGTCATTATCACGCTACTGTACTCCAGCCTGGGTGACAGGGAGAGACCGTATCTCTTAAAAAAATTAGAAAGTATACCATACAAGTAAATATGTACTAAACTGTCCAATAAAGCATTGGTGTTGTAAATTTTTTTTAATAGAGAAGGGGTCTCACTACGTTGCCCAGGTTGGTCTTGAACTCCTGGGCTCAAGGAATCTTCCTCCTTGGCCTCCCAAATGTTGGGATTACAGGCCACTGCACTCAGCCTGAAGCATTGTTTTTACAGCAAAAAGAAAAACTGATTAATATAGTAAATTCATACAACGGAATATGAAATGAGGGATACAAAATTAACAAAAATTTATGAAACTCAAAACATGATTTGCTTGGGCTTATAATGCTGAGTCAAAAAAGCTAACCGCAGAATTATTCATAATATTTACATGAGTTGTTTTTCTTCCTTTTTTCTGTTTTTTGTTGTTGTTGTTGTTGAGACAGAGTCTCCACTCTGTTGCCCAGGCTGGCTGGAGTGCAGTGGCACAATCTCAGCTGACTGCAACCTCTGCCTCCCAGGTTCAAGCGATTCTCCTGCCTCAGCCTCCCAAGTATCTGGGACTACAGGTGCCCGCCATCATGCTCGGCTAATTTTTGTATTTTTAGTAGAGATGGGGTGTCACCATATTGGCCAGGCTGGTCTCAAACTCCTGACCTTGTGATCTGCCCTCCTTGGCCTCCCAAAGTGCTGGGATTACAGGCGTGAGCCACCGCACCCAGCTACATGAGTTTTTTTAAGACAGTTTTATTGCTATAATTCACGTATCAATACAATTTACACATTTAAAATGTACAATTCAATGTTTTGACTATATTCATAGAGTTGTACAACTAACACCAGTATCTAATTTGAGAACATTTAATCACTTCCAAGAGAAATCCATAGCCACTGACAATTACTGTTCATTCTCCCTACATACTCCCAGCCCCAGGCAACCACTTGTCTACTTTCTGTCTCCAAAGATTTACCTATTCTGGATTTTTTATATAAATAGAACCATACAATATATGTTCTTTTCTGACTGACTTCTGTTATTTGGCATAATGTTTGCAAGGGTCATCCACGTTGTAGCATGTATCAGTACTTCATTCCTTCTTATGGCTAAATAATATTCCACTGTATAGATATACCACATTTATCCATTCACCAGTTCATGAACATCTGGGTTGGCTGGCTGGTTGGTTGGCTGGTTGGCTGGCTTACTGAGACAGGGTCTCACTCTGTTGCCCAGGCTGGTGTGCAGTGGTGTCATCACGACTCACTGCAGCCTTGATCTCCTGGGGCTCACGTGATCCTCCCACCTCGGCTTCCCGAGTAGCTAGGACCACAGGTGTGCACCATCATGCCCAACTAAAGTTTTGCATTTTTTGTGGAGATGGGGTTTCGCCATGTTGCCCAGGTTGGTCTCAAACTGCTGGGCTCAAGTGATCTGCCCGCCTCAGCCTCCGAAAGTGCTGAGATTACACGTCTGAGCCACCATGCCAGTCAACATTTGGATTTTTAAAAACGTTTTTGGGCCAGGAGCGGTGGCTCACGGCACTTTGGGAGGCCGAGCTGGGCAGATCACGAGGTCAGGGGATCGAGACCATCCTGGCTAACATGGTGAAACTCCGTCACTACTAAAATTACAAAAGATTAGCCGGGCATGGTGGTGGGCGCCTGTAGACCCAGCTACTCAGGAGGCTGAGGCAGGAGAATGGCCTGAACCTGGGACGCGGAGCTTGCAGTGAGCAGAATTCGTGCCACTGCACTCCAGCCTGGGCGACAGAGCAAAATTCCATCTCAAAAAAGACAAAAAAACAAAAAAACACTTTTTGGCTAATATAAATAATGCACTGATGCTATCAACATTCATGTACAAGTCCCTGTGTAGACATCATGTTTTCATTTTCCTTTAGCATATATCTAGGAGTAGAAATGCTGTGTCATATAACTCTATGTTTAATTTTTTTAGGAATGGGCAGTTTTCCAAGGGAACTATACTATGGTACATTCCCACCAGCAATATGTGAATGTTTCACCTGGAGTTTCATAACATCCAAAAAATACACTATATTCTTTAGGGATATATACACAGGTCATAAAAGTATTAACATGCATGAGAAGGAAAAACATCAAACTTCGGGGGTGGTTCAAAAGAAGACAGGGGCTTCATTGTATTTATAAAGGTTTATTAAGTTGTACAGTATGTATCCAGAAAATATTTTATTTTCAGTATCTTTTTTATGGTCTGAAATATTATATGATCAAAGTAAAAACTGACAAGTAATTAACGTGCATTGTGAGAAATAAAATAAATTAATTAAACTGTTAAAAAGCATGATTGGAATATAATGATTGAGTTATGGAGCATTTTTACTAACTTTTACAAAAATTTCAATATCAAGGAATACAATTTTTTCTTCTAGTATGGAGAGGTGGAGATACAAAAAATACCACTTTAGAAACATTGTATCATTTTATATCTTTTCCTCTTTATCACATATACTCTATAATTTCAAATATAGAATAAGCTAGCAAAACATACACACATACACATACACACACACACACCACAGGTGATATCACAGTGATCATCAGGAAAGATGGTAGGAAACCAGAGTAATTTTTTTTTTAAACAGCAAGGAATAATCAAAAGAAGCCAAAAAATGAACTGGCTTAGCAAACAACTATACTTTGTGAGTAAAGAGAAACACACCAATGCAGTTAACCTCAGTTAAATGCTGGAACTCGCTTTAAAAAGCCATGCAAATTGCCTACCACTTATGGATGGAAAGCAACTGTTTTGACATGTGATGAAATGACAAACCAAGGGTTTTAGAAAAGTAATATATTTTTGTCTACTGAAAGTTCTAGATCCAGGCACCAAACTATGCAGGTAAAACATACCTACTCAGGTTTTCACCTTCTTCCCTTGCGCAAAAAAGACTATTGCTTTGGAAAGTCAGAGCAGACTATATTGTTTTCAAGGCTTAACTATTTCTGAATTACGTATCTAATAAATTCCATGAATTCAGAAGTACAGACAAGGAAAAACCTTTTTCCAATCCCTTTTAAAACTGTGATGTATATCCTTCCAGACATTATATATACATATATACACACACATACATATACACACACACACGCAAAAATAATAAAAGCTAATGCAAAATTAAATAGTATAAGGTGTACAAAGACAGCACCCAAAAACAGACAACTTCTTCCTTGGCTAAGTTATGAACAAGATGAGAAACAAAACAGAATAAAATAACACTTTTGTTACTAACAGAAGCTTTAGATATACTGGCCAAATGAATTTAGTAGTGAACCCCAGAAGTGGGCATGCCTTAGCACTAAAGAGGAGAAGGTCTCTCCCTGCAGGGGTAAACCTCTGCATAACTTATTCCACGGAAAAGAAAATGAAAAATCACTCAGTGGTGGTGGAAAGACTAGCTAGTCCTACACAGAAGGGCATACGTAAGGCCAGTTATTCTCAAACTTACCAATCAGGTGTCCTCACACCAGAGATGAAGTGAATAAAAAAGCAAGAGCAAGCCAGGTGAGGTAGCACACACCTATCGTCCCAGCACTTGAGAGGCCAAGGCAGGCAGATCACTTGAGCCCAGGAGTTCAACACCAGCATGGGCAACACGGTAAAACCCTGTCTCTACAAAAAACACAAAAAAGTTAGCTGGGCCTGATGGCATACGCCTGTAGTCCCAGCTACTTCGGAGGCTGAGGTAGGACGATGGCTTGAGCCCGGGAGGTCGAGGTTGCAGTGAGACAAGATCGCACCACTGCACTCCAACGTGGACAACAGAGTGAGCCCTGTCTCCACAAAACAAAACAAAGGGCAGGCTCAGGGTGACACTAATGGAACTCCCTTCTCACAAAGAAAACCATAGGGGTACAGAAAAAATATTCCCCACTAATATTGTGATCATACTAAATGTATCATTTCTTTACATGCATTTCTACTCATAAACATCTGTCCACATTCAGAAATACACATCTATACCAGTATTTTTAGTAGCTGCATAATGTACCATTATATACAGAGTAGCCACAAAGTTCCAAAACAAGCTAGAGAGAAGCTATCAGCAAACTGATTGTAAATCCATTAAGTACTCAATCTGTCTTCTTTGTTATACTTACTGGTATCATTCATATTGGTGACTCACATAGACGAAATACAAAATAATTGGGAGGGCAGGATTTTGTGCATAGTCCTTTCTGAAGATATTTCATAGCATTTTTTTTGTTTAGCATCTGTCTTTGTCACAACCTTTCACCACATTCCACCCCCAGATGAATGTAACCATCACAGCACGAATTTTTGTTTGTTTTGTTCACTATTATTATTCTTAGTACATAAACGGCATGTAGGGCACGAAGTAGGTGCTCCATCAATATTTGTTTCATGAGTGAATGAATGATGTTGGTTGCTCCTCCACATTCCATT